TTAGCATAGCGGCTTGTAGCCATAGATTAGCATTGTATGTTATATCTACAAATAGATACATATGTATGTATGTATTGTAACATGGTTGTGAGTTCTCAAAAATATTGTAAAAAATTGTGAGGATTATGTACATACCTTGCAAACTAGATTTTAATTGCATTTTTTTAATTAATATTTTTTGTTAAATGTCCTTTTGGTAGCCTTTTTTCCGAAAACCGAAAATGTTTTTGGTTTTTGATAGCGCAAACGATGACATATTTATGCATGCGTAAAGGTAACCAAGGCGACAATGTGTTTATAAACAATTGTGTCCGTCGTTCAGAGCTCCATAAATTAAAGAAACTATAGTTTGGTACACAAAAGCAAGCTGGGATTGTATCTAGTCTTTTCTCTTGTTTAAAGCATTTTCGTGATATACTTCATTGATCGAATCTTCGCTGAATATGAAGCATAACATTCATTGAATTTCGCAGATTCAGGTTTTTTTTTTTTTTTAGAGGTCCAATTATGAATTAAAAAAGGTCGAATACGTATTTAACACTTTGTATTTCAATTATTTAAAGCAATACCAAAAAGTATTCACATATTTTAGTTCTCCATTAATTAATGTTTTGAAAATTTCAACAATAACTTATAATTCAACATAAAGCACTGCATAAAAATGAAAATGTATTCCATTTTAATATGGTAAACTTGTATTGAATGCGGTACTAAGCCCCAGCACTGCAAGAGAGTAGAAAGAATAATATCTTTTAAAATTACGCATATAAATTAGCTTGCGCTAACACTTACAAAATGCATTGTGCTTTATATACACCTCATTATTCAATTTATTGGCCAAATATTGATGACAACGTATGTATGTCAACTCGATGGCATCGATCTGCGAGTTTGTAACATAATCGGCATCATCAGTACTTTCGTTGAGGTCCACTATCGCCAAGGGATTGCTGTTTGATTCAATATATTTTACACAACTATTCCACTCCAAACGTAAAATGTATGCCAAATTCAAGAGCTAAAAAGGCGGTAAAAGTAGTTTGATAAATCATCCGGTAGTACATATCTTCCTAAATACCTGCTCAACGCCTAGTTTCAACGAACTGTAATTCTCTGCTAGAAAACAATGCTCACATACCGTATTCATATACGAGCGATGCACAGTAACCATTTCTTTAAGATTTGTACATTTTACAATCTTTTCATCCAACTGCTCGCCCATTGACTGTAGCACATGTGTCATTAAATGAAAATGTATGCTTTGTATAGCAAATAACATCCAAAAGCGTAGCTGTTCTAAGCGACGCATAAGCAAATCGACCATTTCGAATGGTGCGTAAGGCATTTTCCGCTTGTGCGATCGTGGAAATGGTAAGTTTTCTAGAGTCGCAAGACCCCATTTGACTTTGAGTAAGAAGCGAAACACTTTGTTATAAGCTTCTAAATCTTCTTGTTTGATCATATGTGCTAATTCTGTGCTTAAATTATACGATAAAGCTAACTCATCAACAGCTTCATAGACCTAGGTAAAAAAAAAAATAACATGACTTAAGGAGCAATGTAATCAAAGCCTTACCTTGACGGTTTGACAACGAAACGCGGAATTGATCTCTATACGAAATAGTGAAGACATATCAGAAAATTTAGTACTAATTATATCATCCAATTGGGTAGTAAGTAAAAAGGCATTAGCCCATTCATCGCCAGACTCGATCTGTTCGTAAAAAAGGATATGGGTAGGATAGAAGCATACGCACACTTGAACTGCCTTAAAAGTAATGATTGTTTTTTTTTTTTATACCTGCTTGAACAGCTTATTGTAGAACTGATGCATAATATCACTCGCTTCTAGCAAATATATTTGACGTATATTCCGCAAATGTTTTAAAATGTCAAATTCTTCACGATACAAACGCATCACGAATGAATTTGCGAATGCTATACGGGTCTTGAGTATTCGACTCAAAGCATTTAAAACCACTTCTTCTAGCGGTAGTATATGCTTAGAATCTTCAAATTGCTCGAAGATTTCTAAAGCAGTGGGTTCCTCATTTTTCTCAGCATACTTTACCCGTGCATCACATTGATCGCCATTGATCGCTTTTTCGTTGGGCTCAGTCAAATGCATATTCATAGTAAATGCCAGCAGCAGGAAGTCATCATTTGTAGTGAGTTTTTGCAGGACTTCATCATCTTCATGAGAATTATTTGAAACATCTGCCTTTCCCTCTTCCGTTGCTACCTCATCACACGCCTTGTCAACTTCATCGTGATTATCATTTCTAAGCGTGCTATCGCCTCCAATTTCCAGTCTATTATTTTCTTTGGCCTCCCTTACAGCCTCAATAATTTGCTTTTGTAAAATGCGTACATATTTAAGTACATCATCGATGAACACAGCATACAATTTGCCTTCAATTGCATCACATGCGCTGCGCAACTCACCTATACGATTGATTTCATATAAAAGATTAAGTGTACAACCAGCTTCAAGTGAATGTTCCAGCAGCATTTGGAAAAAACTATTTTCAGTTATCATTTTAGAGATCTGCGTTGGCACGAAAAATGCTTTCTCCTTATTCTTAACGAATTCTCGGATTCGTATACTTTGCCCCTGTTCGTTGACTCGTTCGATAATAAACTCATTATGCCAATCATCTAAACGACCTTCTGTCCACCAGGTGTCTGCAATAATCAAAAATATTTTCACTGAGGCAAGAAATAGGGACATTGCTAGATTAGCTTCAGTTGCAGTGGTTGCAATTCTGTTGCTGTGTATTAAAGCAGCCAATAAATGAACGCTGGAAATATGTGCCGGTAATTGGCGTATATTCTGTACTGCTTGCTGGTGTATGTTATGCAGATATGAAAGTTTAGCAAATGTAGGACGAAGTTTATGATGAAATCTAATAACAGTGTTGATTTCGCAATTGCGTTGCAGCAGTAGATCTCTCTCGCAGGCAAGCAACTCATTCCATATTGGTGCTAGTAGCAGTTCCAAACTGGCCGCATAATGTTCTAGTGTGTTTGGCGGTGTATAATCATCGGAGGAATATATGAGTTTATTAAAGTTGCGTAGGTCATGCATCATGCGAATATAAGGCAAAAACTGTTCCTCCAGCATTGAACCAATAGCAACCTGCATAAATTATATATAAATATATATAAAAGTTATAGTTACTAAACATTTGAACTTCGAAAAAAATGGAGCTTTACCGGTCTTGTGCTGGTCAAGGCCACATTTTTTCTAATTGTAATCTTTTCTTCATTTACGTAAAAAAATTTGCACGTTAACGGCACTTGAAACATCCAAAATATTTCACGCATCAAACTATATTCTGTAGCTGTTTCGGGTTCCTCACGTATGCGATGGCCGGTTGAAGATTTTAGTTGTCGATGATATTCTAAAGCGAAATTCGCTTCCTTGTTTGTGCTTTCGATTTGCGGATGTACTGTTCTAATTCCTTTCTCCCACCAAGAATGCTGCACCGTACTTAGGAGTCGCTGCTCTGCTGAAGAGCCATCATACTTGTAGTAGGGAAGCGATTTTTGAGGAGGTTTAATGTTTTCCATTCCTCGGGGAGGACGCGGATTTTCCGGAAGTTCGTGAGAAGTTTGCGATACGATTTCCGCTTCTGTGCAAGTAGCAAGCAACTCTTCTGATGATTCATCAGACCAAGACTAAGTGAGGAAATGTAGAAAACAAGAATATGAATACATAAATTAATTCAGTACCATAAAAATATGCCATTTTACAAACTAACGCTTAAATCGGAAGAGCTGTTATTGAAACGCTCAAGTGGTATAAAGTCTTCTTGCAGCACTTTCTTCCAATGGTCATTCTCGCTCTCCAAACATTCGGCTTGAGCTATCTCATTGTGCTCCTGCAATAATATATCAATTTTTTCCTTATTGCGACGCAAAGCACCTGTAGGATTGCAGGCAAGCGTCAGAAGAAAATCAAGCAAAGACCAAGGTACATCAACTTCATAGTGTTCCACACAAAGTGGATGTTGTATGATCTCATCACACAGGCGCCCCAGATGTTCAGCATACTCGAGATTATTGTCGACTGCGAATTTCTCCTGTATTCCTTCGATTTTCCGGCGCACTTCATGGCTGTTGGTACTCAAATTGCGATGGTTTCGTATGATGGACCAGGCCATTTGCTCACAGCTGCGTAAGTTCTCATCATCATCTGCTAATCCAGTCAACTCTTTGATTAATTTAGGTATATTCTCGCGTATAATTTCATTGCGCGCATCTTGCGCGGACATGACGCTAAAACCTGTTGTTGCTTTTATTGTGAGAATTTATGTCCAATGGAATTAAAAATAAATTTTACACTATAAATTAGTGTATCTCGCGGGTAAATAAACTTTTTTTTTGTTTACATGGAGTGAAGTCCCGTTTGCAAGGCTTCTTCTTCTTCAAGCAACGAAGTCACAAGGGATTGAAAGGTACTACTCACAATGACTTAATCACAAGAAATATGGAAAAACTTTGCGTATTTGGAAAGTTTTGTAAAGAATTCGCTTAAAATATCTCAGAAAAGTTATAAACGAGTTGCGGTTTACGGCCACTAATACATTAACTGAAAAGGTTTGCAAATAAATTTGTTGTTTTAATATAAGTACTCAAATGTGCACAAGCTTTTCTGCTGCTGGGTTACGTTCGGTTTCCACTTCCACTTCCGTTAGAAATTTTCGGCCACAACTAATTTTAACATTTCGGCTCGTAGATTTTGTAAGTTTTTGTTAAATATATAAACAATAAAATGTAATATTGCCCTCATTCGATCTTTTAGTGAACGTCGCGTGTGTGTACTATGAAAATATCGACTCGGTGATGTGTTTTATCCCAAAACGAATAACGATTGATTTGCATGTGCGTGACTATAGAAAGGAAATAAATTTGTTCATTAACTGCGGAATCAAATGACTGTTTATGGTTAATGGAATATGTTTGTTTTACAACTTTAGCACAAAAATAAAGTTTTCTATACAAGCTGTTTGAAACTTGAACGTAATTGCTTGTATTGGAGTGATTGATGCACTCTAGATAAAGTGCCGATTATAATTTGAAAAATAAATTAACAACCGGCGGATATATGTACATACATACATACCTACCTCACAATGATAATTAAACAGTGTTAAAAACGATAA